ACAAGGGCGCGGGGCGACAAATGCACTCGTACCAGTCCAAGTTCTACGCCTGAAGCTCGCTGACCTCATCGACCAAGACCAGTTGCCGAGATCACCACTTCCACCATAAGCCACGAGCATCGAGCCCGAGGCGCCTGTACCTACAGCGTTCACTACATCAAGAACGCTGGTTACGACAACCATGTTCCTGCTGCACCTCTTCTCGGGAAGAAGACGGGTGGAGGACTTCCAACACCACTTCGAGATGCACGTAGCCTGCTGCAACCTGGTGGTGCTCTCCATCGACGTGCAGCTCGACCCCGTCAAAGGCGACTTAACCAAGCAGGACGCGCTGGCTTTCTGGGTCAACGCTAAAGGGCTGGCAAGATCTTCGGCATCCTGGCTGGACCACCCCGTGAGACGTGGTGTTCTTCAAGGTGGCACGCCCTCGAGGGAAGAGCACCGCGACCCCTCAGAACCCACGAAAACCCGTGGGGTATACTGGCAGCCAGCCAGACAGAACTACAACAGCTTGCACTAGGCAAGGACCTCTACAGAACGGCCAACTCACTCATCACGACGGGTCTGAAGTTCGCAGTGTCAGCCATACTCGAGCATCCAGCACCTGCCACCTGGTGCCAGCAAGCACCGAGCAGCTGGCACAGAGCGGAGCCCGAGTGGCTATCGGAACAACAAAGCACGGAACTCCACTATATCGACTAGTGCCAGTTCGGACAGGTAGCGCAGAAACCAACATGCCTACTTGCAGCATATCTACGCGAATTACGACAAGAGCTACTGGCAGTACCCTGGGGGCAGACATGTACTCACAACGGACATGGCCGAGCTTACGGACGTGATGACAGAGGCGGATGGAAGACGGCACCACTCAAAGAATACCCGTCGAAGCTGTGCAGATCCATGGCGGCGGCTTTCGCGGCTAGATGGGGACAGCTGGCAGACGACAATGCACCATGGGCCATGGACGACGAGGAGCATCACAACTTCTACGCACCACTGGACTATTACGCAGAGACTGCAGAGCTGGGCCACGACTGCCACAGGAAGTGGGGAACCCGAGGGCGCTCATAGGCACAGACACAGGCCGCGCATGATGGTACATACAAGCGGCCGAACTCACTACACACCGCACCCACACCATCCCCAACAATTCCAGCTACCAGACCTACAGCTACCAGACCGACAGCACCACGGCTGCGACACACCGACGCCATCCGCACTACGTGCAGCAACCCTCGCAGCCAGACACAACACCACACAAGCTCGTGACCCAATGCGCAAACCCCTCCGACAACTATCCTAACGGCGCTAGGACGCAAGTCCTGAGGAAGCCCCGAGTGCGTGGGAACACCTCAGGCAGCGTTGCCACGCGTTGCTGGAGGCGTCAGGACGCAAGTCCTGGGGAAGCCCCGAATGCGAGGGAACACCCCAGACACAAGTCGACACGTTTAGCAGCACAGAAGCACGCAGTGCGGGCACGCACGCACGTTAGCGGCCACCAGCAACCCAGACTGCAGACGACATCAGCGGCCGCCCAGCACCTGCGACCAACCACCACCAGCGACCCTAAGACAGCCCCAAACACAACGTCATAAGTCCACGCTGCTCTGGTGAGGCGAGGATCAAACTTCGAGACGGGCTCGAAGGGCGGGTGGGCAGGACGAGTGCTGCCCGCGCACACCAGGGGGGATGGTGAGGGGCAGGAGGGGGGTAGGACGGCCACTACCCACGCCCTCGCGGTCCGCCCTGGCTCGCCACTCCCACCATCCCCACGACGGAGGAATCCTCACCCGTACACCGACATGACGGAGCAGAGAGCAAGCGCGGTCACCCCACTACGACCACAACAGCACCAGGCCTGGGGTTCGCCCCCACCGAGGGCACAGTGACCCCTAGCCATAGCGGTACGAGGTGGGACAGCCACGACCCCCACTTGAAGTCGGTGCATGGAGGCCAACAGGTGCGAGCCCTACCCATACGCCCACACACTCCAACATGATACCACAAACGACGACAGAGTGCGAGAAAGGTGGAGCCACCACAGCGGCACGACTGTAGCAACCTGGCTACACGCAGCAGCGCAGGGAGCTGGAAATCACGCAGGACGATTAGACGCATAAAAAGGACAAGACACATGGGAGCCCGAGGGAAAGGTGATCAGGAGCAGGGACCACACACCTCGAGCCCCACGAAAACACAGCTAAAAAGAAGGACAGGAGCAGGGTCCACAACGCCAGAGACGCGCGAGGACCTGGGGAAAGGTGACCAGGAGCAGGGGTCACACACCGGGGCACACGAAGATGAAGTTAACTAAGCAGTGAGCTCTAGGGGAAGGTGGTCAGGAGCAGGGACCACACACCTAGTGACCAACGATGGCAGAGGACGGGGAAAGATAGTCAGGCCCAAGTACCACACACTCTGTTCTAACGCCAAGGGGCAGCCTGCCCCGACCCTGGGCTCAGCGCGAGGCGCCGAAGGGAGCCCAGGTGTCGCTGAGAGGCCAGCCAGGCCGAAGCGGGCTCGAGGGAAAGGTGGTCAGGAGCAGGGACCACAGACCTCGAGTCCCGTGAGGAGACGGGGAAGGGTGGGCAGGAGAGCCACTCCCACACACCCCTCTGGACCTGGGGAAAGGTGGTCAAGAGCAGGGACCACACACCCAAGCCCAGCCGAGAAGGGGGCTCCTCCTCAGCGGCTGGGCTCAGCGCTCGGCGCCAAAGGGAGCCCAGCCGCAGCCCAGCGGCCAGCCTGGCCCCGGCCCACGAAGAGGCCGAAGGCCAGGCCGAGCGCCGCGCCGCGGGCGCTGCCTGACGCCCGCGGGCGAGGGCGCGCGCGGCGCCCGTTCAAGGGCCCTTTCGGGCCTCCTATTTTTGAACCCGGCCTCTCCCCCCCTCCTCCTCCGAGGTATTTATTGGTCCCTGGTCCTCTCTCTTTACTCGAGGTCGGGTTCCTGGGGCCGTCGTCTGAGTGCCCGCACGGCCCTCGTGCGCTGCTGTGGCGCGCTCCGCGCTCCGGGCGCATGCGAGACGCTGCTCGGAGCGAAAAACGCAGAAACGCGGGGGGAGGAGGAGGAGGAGGAGGAGGAGGAGGAGGAGGAGGAGGAGGAGGAGGAGGAGGAGGAGGAGGAGGAGGAGGAGGAGGAGGAGGAGGAGGAGGAGAGGAGGAGGAGGAGGAGGAGGAGGAGGAGGAGGAGGAGGAGGGAGGAGGAGGAGGAGGGGAGGAGGAGGAGGAGGAGGAGGAGGAGGAGGAGGAGGAGGAGGAGGAGGAGGAGGAGGAGGAGGAGGGAGAGGAGGGAGGAGGAGGAGGAGGAGGAGGAGGAGGAGGAGGAGGAGGAGGAGGAGGAGGAGGATGGAGGAGGAGGAGGAGGAGGAAGGAGGAGGAGGAGGAGGAGGAGGAGGAGGAGGAGAGGGAGGAGGAGGAGGAGGAGGAGGAGGAGGAGGAGGAGGAGGAGGAGGAGGAGGAGGAGAGGAGGACGAGGAGGAGAGGAGGAGGGGAGTCTGAGGAGGGGGGCAGGGGGAGCGGGGAGGGGAAGGGGGGGAGGGGGAGAGAGGCAAGCTAGGTGCGCTCGCGTCATATCTGACGTCCTACCCCTCCCTCCCATCCCTTACCATGGCGCTGATTTTCTCTATCCGCGGACGCGTGTCGTAGCGGACCTGTGGCTCCGCGCGCGCGTGCGTAGTGGGTGGTGGTGCGCGTGCGTGCGTGCGTGCGTGCGTGCGTGCGTGCGTGCGTGCGTGCGTGCGTGCGTGCGTGCGTGCGTGCGTGCGTGCGTGCGTGCGTGCGTGCGTGCGTGCGTGCGTGCGTGCGTGCGTGCGTGCGTGCGTGCGTGCGTGGTGGTGGTGGTGATGGTGGTGCTGGTGGTGGTGCTAGTGGTGCTGGTGGTGGTTGTGGTGGTGGTGGTGGTGGTGGTTGGTGGTGGTGGTGGTGGTGGGGTGGTGGTGGTTGTGGTGGTGGTGGTGGTGGTGTGGTGGTGGTGGTGGTGGTGGTGGTGGTGGTGGTGGTGGTGGGGTGGTGGTGGTGGTGGTGGTGGTGGTGGTGGTGGTGGTGTGGGTGGTGGTGGTGGTGGTGGTGGTGGTGGTGGTGGTGTGTGGTGGTGGTGGTGGTGGTGGTGGTGGTGGTGGTGGTGGTGGTGGTGGTGGTGGTGGTGGTGGTGGTGGGTAGTGCGGCGCGGTGGTGGCGGGCGGATGGGCGCGCGAGAAAGAGGCCCGCGCTGGGGCGAGAACGCCATCCTGAACGACGGAGGCCAAACGCCGATCCGAAAATGAGGCCCACGCTGCAGCGGGAGCACGATTCGGAACGATTCAGGAGCAGAAATGAGGCCGGCGCCTCAGCGAGAGCAGCATTTTGAAAAAAAACGCATGCGAAATCCCGTTTCCCGGGAATCCTGTGTGTAAAAAAACAGTACGCGGGGGGGGGGTCGGCCATCTTCGGGACGCCATCAGGGGAAGTGGGAGAGTATTTTCATATTGTGTAATTGTGGAGGGAGCGGTGTCGGCCGGTCGCCTCGAGGCCCCGCGGAGGAGGTTGGCCGAGGCCTGCGCCCCTCGGGGGGGGGGCCTCCCTCGGGCTCCAGGGCCTGACGACGGGGGAGCGTGCCCCCCTCCAGGGGCCACGCACGCCTTCGGGGCCAGGGGCCCAGAGACGCTCGAAGGTCCCCTCTTCGGTGGCCACCCGTGGGAGCCTCCCGCACCGTCTTGTCGGCTCTCGCGAGTCGACGCCAAATCGGCGCCGATCGACCCTAAGTCGATGCTGATCGACGCGAGCTGGCGCCGAATCGGCGCTATCCCACCAGCTTCCAGACGCAAATCGACGCTGATCGACGCCAGAAACGGAGTTGAGAGGGCACTGTAGGCCCCCACGACTTGATACCGAAGATCATCGGGCACCATCCTGACACAAACTTCCAGACATGGAGCCTTCGCGTGCCAGGTGCCCTCGGGCGAGATCCTGTGATGACCCCTTCCCAAGCCTGATCTTCTGGAGGCGCTGGCCGTGCCGCATGCAGAGTGCACCTCCGCCAGCCGCATCGTCGAGTTCGTGTACGCAAAATTCTTGGAGCACCTTGTGCAAATGTGCGGATGGAAGACGATCCGCAACGGGCTGAGTGCCCCCAAGGGCGCGCAGATGAAGGAAGAGGAGGAGGAGGAAGACGACGACGACGACGACGCACAAGGGAGAGGAGGAGACCAGGAGGCAGGAGAGCAGAATGACGACGACAGCGAAGACGAGAATGAGGACAAGAAAGCGAGGAGAAAACTCCCCTTGACAGAGTAAGCTCTTTCCCCCACCGTGCCTCGACGAAATCGTCACGGGGCCCTCTTCCGTAGCAGAGTTGCAATTTCGGTGGACATACCAAGCAAAACTGTGGCCGCTGGTCCAAACGATGTCCGACTCTCGATCGTGACACCCCCGCGCTTGCGTAACCAACGAAATCGGGAAGCGTACCCCGCCACCCCAGCGCTCACATCTGGCTCGGCAGTCCGCAGGCGATGGTTGACAGGTCCTCCTCATCCTCTCTGCCATGGTTGCTCCTCTTTCTTGCGCCTCCTCTCCCTCCTCCCCGGGCGTGGCAGGCCCCGCGGAGGCAGAGGCGCCAACAGGGCGCGGGCCGGCAGCCGGCAGGGGCAGGACGCGAGGGCGCAACCAGAACAGCCGCGTGGTGCCGCAGGAGGAGCTCGACGGCCTCGAGAAGATGGACGTGGAGCGGCTGCGCACCCTGGTCCCAGCACTTACCAAGATGGTTCTCAACCTCGCGATGCGGACCATGCAGGTGGAGGCGGTGACGCTCGTGACGATGATCATCGGGGCCAACAGCTTGCCAGTGGTACGCGCGAGGGCCAGGGTCAAGGCGTGGATCGAGCAGGCGCAGGAGATGAGGTTCAGGAAGAAGGAGGACGAGATCGAGACGAAGCTCAGCACGATCTCGTGCGCGGCGCTGGTCGGCATCTTCGAGTGCTGCGACGAGGCAGGGGTCGAGGTCGGCCGCATCAACATGGAGGACCTGGCAGCGCTGAAGAAGGCAATCGGAGACATGACGACACGCATGACGGCGGACAAGTTGTCGCTCGTGAAGGTGCAGACGACATTCAAGAAGTCGAACGCGAAGTTGACGATCGGGAAGGTGCCCGAGCTCGGACCGCTCTTCGCCTGCTTGGAGTAGCTCAGCGGGGTGCTGAAACAGGGAGTGGCGCCGATGAGCCACCTCGAGAGGATCCTCAACACGTACCTGGAAGATGTGTGACCGACTCGGGCCAGAACGAAATTCGAAGACCAGTTTTGACGGGTCGGAAGGAGCCCGACATCGGGTCGGAAGGAAAATCGAAGACCAGTCTTGAAGGAGGGGAGGGAGCTTCGGGTCGCCACGATGACACTGCACCGAGGGAGGCACCAACGCATGCGACCACTCCGATGGGGAATCGAGAGCGCGAGCTGCTGCCGCAGTGGACGGTCGTGACGCAGACAAAGTACCAGATGCAGCCGACCAGCCTTCTGAACAGCCCGAGCGCGTGCGCCCAGAGGCTAGAGCGCCAGCTGCTGGGATCACGACTGCGATGGCCGTGGAGCACACACCGAACAGGGTCTGAGCAGGCTGCCCGCCTCTGCCGCAGCGCCCAGGCCTGCGAAGCCTCTCCCACCTCCGCCTCCGACGAGCCTCCACCTGCCCCCGAGAAGGCCTGGACGCTGCGAGACTAGGAAGCGCCCCCCGGCCCCCCCAGCGATCCTGAGGAAATCCAGGGAGGTGTTCGGAATCCCGGGTGGGGGGGACGCGCTGAGCATTTCGATTCCAAATCTTTTATCGGTCAAACGCCCTCGTGGCAAGTGACAGTAGGAGTGGGCCACACCTCCCTGCTGCTGCTGCTGTGCTGCGCGCTCTTGCTGGCTCCCTCCTCTCGCCTTCCCTCTCGCGTTCGCTGGGGTTCCTCCGCTGTGTTGCCTGCGTGATGGCTCTTGTCTCGCTGGCTTCTCCCCTTTCCCCTCGTGTTGCGAGGGGTCGTGGTCGGTAGGTTTAGGTTCCGAAACCCAGGAAACCGATGGGTGGGCTGAAAGCCCAAAATCTCGGCCGTAAGTCGTTCCTAGGGTGACTTCAAATCAGCTCAGGAGATTCGCCCCGAGAGGAGTCAGTGGCCGGCAGATCCTGGGGAGGAGGAGGAGGAGGCGGAGGAGGAGGTAGAGGGTACCACGTGACGGGAGCAGAGTTATATACCTTAAAGTGGCCCACGGTGACCTACGATTAAGAAACGCTGACGTGAATGGAGGGATGGCAAAAAAACTACGACAGCGCCCCGGGAAGAAGCGTTGGATCAGCAGCAGCTTCAGAAAAAGCTGCGCATCTAGCGCGCTTAAACTCCCTCCGGCCTGCGAGCCGCAGCCCCTGACCCAGTGGTAGTAGTAGTCTTCCTCCTCCTCCTCCTCCTCCTCCTCCTCCTCCTCCTCCTCGTCCTCCTCCTCCTCCTCCTCCTCCTCATCATCATCCTCCTCCTCCTCGCACACGTCCTCGTCCTTCTCCTCCTTCTCCTCCTCCTCCTCCTCCTCCTCCTCCTTCTCCTCCTCCTCCTCCGTCGTCTCATCTTCCTCCTATCCGTTTTCCCTTATCCCCTCCCTATCGCACCCCAAGACGCGTCGGCTGGGCGGGCCGGCTGGTTCGCCTGAGACTTCCTCATCATGTATGATCCTGCATCTCGGAATCCCACCAGCCCTCTGGGCGTTGGTGGTTTAGAGCGTTTCCTCTTCCACCCCTCCTTCTTCCCCTTCGGGGAGGGGTTTACCCCTCCCCCTACCCCCTCCCCACTGACATGGACAGGGGGGGCCGCGACGCGTTGGAGCGTCCAAGATGAGCCAAGACGACTCCAAGAGGGCCTCAGGGAGCCCAAGATCGCCTCCAAGATGGTTCAAGATAGCGCAAGATGCCTCAAGATGGTTCCGAAGATGCTCCAAGACGCTCCAAGACCGCCCCAAGACGGCTCTAAGTGTCCACTAGAGCTCCCCTCGGATGCCCCCAAGAAGCCAAAATGTTTCAAAACCCTAGGGAAAATCAATGTTTTGGCGTTCTCGCGCTTTCGCTTCCGATGCCCACCCGAGGCGTCAAGATAGCTCCAAGATGGCTCAAGATAGCTCCAAGAAGGGCCCAAGAAAGCCCGAAGACGGCGCAAAGAGCGCCCAAGAGCGCTCCAAGAGCCCTCCAAGAGCGGTTCAGGAGGCGATTTTAGAGGCTTTCCAGGAGCGACGCTAATTAGTGCTTCCGCTTTCTTTGACAGATCCCCTCAGGATGGCCCCAAGATGGCCCCAAGAGGCCCCCCAAGAGGCCCCCAGGAGGCCCCCAAGAGACCCCCAAGAGGCCCCAAGAGACCCCCCAGAGGCACCCAAGGGGCAAAGATGGCCCCAAGAAGCGCCCAGGAGGCCCCCAAAGGCCCCAAGATGGCCCCAAGAGGCCCCAAGAGGCCCCCAGGAGGCCCCAAAGAGGATCCCGAACGGCCCACAGAGGCCCCCCCGAGGCACCCAAGACGCCGAAAAGCCCCTCAGGACGACCCTCTACTCGCCTGGGCGTCGTTTCTGGACGGGCTGGTGGGGATACGCGAGGCGTCTAGAATTTGCCACGGTTTCGCGGATGAAGGCGGGCCACTTTTTGATGTAGCTCTCGCCTCAACGCCGCCCTGAAGCTTCACGGACGGATGGCGGGAGGTTTTCAAAATCTGGCTCTCGCCTCCGGGCCGCGCAAGTCTGTCTTCGAAGCCTGCACCATCCTCACGGACGCAGGGCGGCGCCCGTTCAAAGTGTGGCCCTCGCCTCGGCGCCGCGCGCCCTCGTCTTAGAATACGCATCGCAGCCGTTGCAGGGACTCGCACAGCTGAGGTCCCAGGAAGGGCGCTCGGGTGCCGCTTTAGGACTGCCTGGACACGACAGTCACGTGGATTCGCGGCGCGGACGTCCCAAGAACGGGCCTCTAGCACGATTGAAGCTTCTCCAACAGTTGTCTTCCAACGGGGCACTCCCCGCAATTAAAATAAAACCTTGTGAGGACATGCGAAGAGAAATCTTGGAGAGAGGGTGTGTTGCAACATCGGCTTAGCTTCGACCGGAAGAGGTGCGCTCTCGACCCGCGGATCAAAAAAGTGTTGCAACATCGGTGATGCGTCTTGGGTTTACACTGGTCGTCCTCCTCCTCCTCCTGCGAGCACAAGGCGGTCTTTGAGGCGCTCGCCTACACTCCCTCGGATCCTGACCCCTAGGAGCACGGCGACAAAAAATGCACGCGACCACGTCGCCGGCAGCCACCCGCGTCCACGGCGCCTAGTTCGCCAGCTACTCAGACAACGCGGCCACCGAAGACCAGGAGGCGTCGACACCTCCTCCTCACCCTGCTCCTCCTCCCCCTCCTCCTCCTCCTCCTCCTCCTCCACCTCCTCCTCCTCCTCCTCCTCCTCCTCCTCGGAAGCCCATGCTGAGGCTCCGATCCAGCGGGTCTGACCTCGAGAGAGCCCTGGCATTGGATACTCGGCCGCCCAGCGGTCGTTGCACGCCCGCGGCTCCCGCGGGGGCGCCCGCGCCTCGCACTGGCAGGGCAGGTACAGGAACTCGAGCCCCTTGAAGATCCTTGGCGGCGCGCGCCAGTGGGGGGAGGGTAAGCAGACCCTTCCCTAACGATGTTGCTGTGCTCTTCACCCCTGGAGGGTCGAGGCCGATTCCATCAGCCCGAGCTCGACGAGAGCTTCAAGACGGCGGCACTGATGCGCCGAGCGACCTGCTGTGGGCTACGCTCAGGCTCCGGAGCCGACTCGACAGAGTGGTACAGGATACGAGCCGTCGCGGGTAAGCAGGGGGGGGGGGGGGGCGAGGGGGGCGGCCGAGCCGGAGAGGGCCAGAGGGCTCCTCGGAGGGCCGGGCCGGGCCTCCCAGAGGAGGCCGTCGGGGAGGAGGGGCATCTGAGAGAGGCGCCCCGCCGCACCAGAAGGAGCCGCCCGCGCCCGCCCCCACCCCACCCCTGCGCATCGTGCACCGACCCCGG